TCCCCGGGTGTCTGGGGTTTGGGGGGGGGGGGGGGGTGCCTGTGAGCCAAGATGCCTGGACCCCCTCCCAAGTGGGGAGGAATCAAAGGCCATGCCTCCTGGACACATGCTACATCATAGGACAATCCCACAGGCCCTGAGGTCACAACCCTGAAGCTTCTTTATTGGTGGAGGCACAAGAGTGGGCGGAGCTATTGAGCCCCCTGCTCTGGGCGGAACCGGAACCTGGGGAGGAAAGAGTCAATGAGAGCAGCCACTGCATGTCCCCCTCCTATATGCCCCGCCCCTCCAGCCCCAAGCCCTGCCCTGTCCCCTGCACTCACTCCAGGGTGCAGCTGACCAATCCCAGTGCGAAGGAGGCGGCAGAGGCGACCCCGATCACTAGCAGTGGGTGCTGGAGACTCTCCCAGCCTGGGGGGTAAGGGGCAGAGGGGGTGGGGCCTGGGCTTGCGGGCAGAGCCATGTCCATGGGGCAAAAGGGGTGGAGCCAAGGCCTCATCAGGAAAGGAGGCGGGTCCAGGGATGGTGGGCAGGGCCATGTCCATGGGGTTAAAAGGGTGGGGCCAGAGCCTAATCATGGGGAAAGGGGCAGGGCTTAGGATGGTGGGCAGGGCATCACTAAGGGGAAAGGGGCAGGAGGGAGGTAGGGGAAAGGGGTTGGGGGCAGGGTCAGAGCCAAGTCGGGAGCATCCCCACTGGGGTGTGTGGCCAAGAGGGGGCGTGGCTTGAGATTGGACCTGCCCCCCTCCTCGCTCACCTGAATAGCAGCTCTCCAGGGCCCAGCAGGGCACCTTGTCCCTCCGGCAGGTGGAGCAGTTGAGGGCCCAAGCTGTGCCCCCTGGGACCCAGGCATCGAGTCAGCGGTCAACAGCCCCCCTGCTGGACCTCCCCCCCAACTTGCCCCCCCCAGCCCTGGGGGGATACTTACGGCAAGCTGGAGGGCACAGCGCTGTGGGGGGGATGGGAAAGGTGAAAAAGAGGGGCTGGGGTGTGGCCAAGGGGTGGGTGGGGCTAAGGTCCCAATGGGTGCGGCCACTTCCTCTTACCATCCCGGGTGAACTCCGGCAGCTTTACCTCATGCAGCCAATCCCAGAAGACGGGGAGGTCCGAGAGGTTGTGGCCCAGCTCTGTGGGGGCAGGATTAGGCCCCTCCCAGTCAGGATGCAACCGCTTCAGCCACTGCCCCAGGATCAGCCCCTCCAAGTCCTCCAGCCTGGATTGGGTCCTTTGCACTGCCCACCCTGTCAGTATCAGGCCCCTCCACGTGATCAGGATTGGGCCCTTTGAAACCCCACCTCAGCCAGGATTGAGCCATTCCACCCCCAAAACCCTTTAGGATCAGGTCCCTCCAGCCCCCCCATACAGGATGGTGCCTCTCCAGCCACTGCCCCAGGATCAGCCCCCTCCAAGCATTCCCCCCGCTACCAGGATCAGGCCCCTGCCCCATTCCCCAGCCAGGATTGGGCCCCTTCAGCTCCACCTCAGGCAGGATTGAGCCCTTCTACCCCCACACCCGACTCCTTCAGGATCTGCTCCCTCCACCCCCCCCAGTCAGGATTGGGCCCTTCCAACTCCCTCCGTAGCCAGCATTAGGCCCTTCCACCTTCCCTCTGGATCATGGCCCTCCAGCCCACCCCGGCCCTTCTGTCAGGATTGGGCTCTTCCAATGCCTCCCCCATCAGGATCAGGCCCCTGCCTTCCTGCCTCCCTTACCCATTAAGCGAAAGACCCGGTGGATCTTCTCAGTCACCACCTCCACTGCCTGGTCCTCTTGGCATGCAGGGGCACAGGGGTCAAAGGTCAGGGCAGGATCAGTGGCCGGGAGGAGGGATGGAGGGTGTCAAGGGGGCTGAGGGAGAAGCCCCCCCCCTTCCCCCGTCCCCGGGCGCACAGCTGGGCAGGCCCTAGTGAAACCCAGCAGTCAGCAGTAGGGACCAGAGTGAACACCCACAACATGGGAAAAATAGGACGGAAGAACCCAGGTGTGTCCCGCCCCCTTGGACCCTTACCCAGCGCAAAGCCCCGGAGGGTTTGGCCAACCCAGGGGTACTTGCTGCAGGCCCGACCCTCCCGGCCAGCCTCGTAACGGGTGCAGAGACGGGCAAAGCGTCCAGCCAAACCCCGCCGGCCTGGGGGGCACTGCACACAGCCCCCAGTGAGGGTGGGCAACAGGGACAGCAGCAGCAGCAGAGGAAGGCAGGGGGCAGATAAGAGCCCCTGCGGGGCAGATGTACAGGCTAGTGGGGTACAGCCCATCCCTGGGGGGCAGATAATAGCCCCTGGAGGGTGGATGTGGTGGGGTAGATCCTGGCCCCAGGGGGACAAATAGTCCCTGGGGTTCAAATGTGGGGGGTGGTGGTGTAGATCCCAGTAATCGGCGGGCATGTAAGTGCCCCTGGGAGATAGCTCTGTGGCAGGAGAGGGCAGATCCGCGCTCTATGGTTCCATGCCAGCTGCGGCTGTTATACAGGACGTCACGTTCCGCGGGCCCCGCCCCTGCTGCGGTAAGCCACGCCCCCTTCTCAGCCCTCCGGGGCGGGGCCGTTAGAACACGCCCTGCCCGCTCCGCGACTTCAAAGATGGGATTGTCATAATATGGGGAACGGGCGTGGCCTATCGCCTGGGTCCCGTCTCCTCTTAAAGGCACTCCCCCCCAGCACACGCCTGTTCCGTCACTCTTTTATTCCAAGCCTGGTCCTTTAAATCCCAGTAGGCCCCGCCCACACGTGATACAGCAGGTGCACAAGCCCCCCCCTCTCCCATGCCACCCCAGCAAGCCACGCCCCTGGGGGGCTCCCAGCTCCCCCCACCCAGGCGTCTGGTATCATAGTCCTGCCCCGCCCCCGTGGGGGGTGGGGGGGAAATCCTTCAAGTCTTCTGGGGGCGGGGCTTGGAATCTTTCTGGCCCCGCCCCTTCCTCTCCCATTGGTGGGGGGGTCCTCAGGCTCCAAGCAGGGCTGGAAGAGAGGAGAGAGCAGGAGAGCCAGTGCCCCGCCTCCCTGGACAATGGGGCTATTCTCAGCCCGGGGCCGAGGGGGGATGGGACAACGTTGCCTTTGTGCCCCGCTGGCCACTGGGATATTCCCCTCACCTCCAGTCCACCCAGTTCAGGCTCCCAGTTCAGGCCCCCGCCCCCACTGTGCCCAGTTCACCCAAGCTAGATTCCTTGCCCTACCAATTCAGACTCTCAGTTCATTTCCCCCCCAGTTCACCCAGTCCAGATACCCAGTCCTACCACTTCAGGCTCCCAGTCTCCCCAGTTTGCCACTCCCAGTTCACCCAGTTGAAACTCACAGTTCCCCCAGTTCATTTCCCTCCAGTCCTCCCAGTTTAGACTCCCAGTTTTGGTCCCCCAGTCTGCCCAGATTAGATTCCCAGTTCTCGCAGTTCACCCGTTCCATCACCCTTCAGTGCTCCCAGTTTGGGCCCCCAGCCTGCACAGATTAGACTCCCAATCTGACCAATTCAGGCCCCTTCCATTCTGGCTAGTTCAGACCCCCAATTCCATCCCCATCAGTTGTCCCAGTTCAGACTCTCAGTTCAGCCCCCAAGTCCCCCCCACAGTTCAAACTCCTACTTTGAACTCCCAGTTTGCCCATTTCAGCCTCCCAGTTCAGCTCAACCCCCCGCCCGCCCCTGTCTGCCCAGTTCACCCCCCAGAGAACCCAGGCATCCTGTGCCTATCCCAGCCTCTCTCACCACTTACCAGCACCCCCTGTGGCTGGAGGTAGATGGGGCAGGAAGGGTGGAGCTCCCCAGGAAGCTCCGCCCCCTCACTGTAACCCCCGCCCCCATCAGGGGCGGATGAATCGCAGCGAGCGGGCAGTGAGGAGGTCACTGGGGTCAGGGAAGGTGGAGTCCAGGTGGAAGCCATGGGCCAGCGCCATCTTGAGCACTTCCTCCAGGAAGTCGGTGGGCGTGGCCAGCTCCCGTCCCCCGGGGTGCACAGTGTGCAGAGGCCACACCCCCTGTTTTGCATATTCGTCTGCCGGCATGACTACTGGCCGCGGTGCCCACTCCAGTCGCAGGTGGTGGCGACTCCCAGCCTCTGGCTCCTCCCATTGGCCACCCCTTTGATCAGCCTCTTCCTGTTGGTCAACGCCAACTCTTCGTTGACTCGCGGTGCCATCCCATTGGCCAGTTTGGGCTCTGCTCCCTTGAGCGGCATCATCCCGTTGACCAATGCCACAACTCCATTGACGGTCAATGCTGTCCTGTTGGCTGATGCTGGCTCCACCCGTTTGATGTTTGTTGCCTTCCCATCCGTCGCTGCTGGCGCCATACTGTCGACAGCTGCTTCCATTCCACTGGCTGCCAATGACATCATGTGCTTGACCTACCTCGCCTCCATTTTGCTGCCTTTTGGCTCTGTCCCCCCCGCCCTCGCCGGCGCCATCTTGTGGTCCATCCCTGCCAGCACCCCATTGGCCAACATTGACTTGAGCCTGTTGGTCAATGTTGACTTGACCTTGAGGGCCATCTTGCTCCTCTTGGAAGAAGAGGCTGTTGCCAGGCCCTGCCTTCCCCAGGACCCCAGCCCTGGGGGCCTTGCCAGTGCCCCTGAGCCGGGCCCGGAAGGCGTCCATGAAGCCCCTGTCAGTGCAGAAGACATTGGCTGTGAAGACCCGTAGGGCGCAGGAGTCCAGCTCGTAGCACTGCCGCCCAGCCCTCACTGTGAAGTGCACCACGCGCTGCTGGGTGTCCACGTCAGTGTGGAGCGGGTGGTCCACTGCATTGTGGAGCACTGCTGCTGAGCCGAGCCTCCGCTGCACTGCGTCCCATTGGCTCAGGGCTTCCTGGAGAGGGTGGAGCTGGTAGAAGTCAGCCTCGGTGGCCAGTAGTCCCAGCTCAGAGTAGCCCTCAGGGAGCTGGAGCTGCCCCGTCCGCAGGAAGTTGAGCACGTGGCGGAAGGTAGGGCCGTCACGGTCGATGATGTAATGGCCCTGTCTGTCCATGTGCGATGGGCGGGGCCCGCCCCGGAACATGGCAGCCAGCATGGAGTCAGGGCAGCGGGTCAGCGTTTCCACCGTGGTGGTGTAGAGCTTGCCCCCCACGTTGAGGGTCACGGGACCCCCCCCAGCCCAGGGGACCCGGACGTCTAGGTTCTCTGGGCCTGCCAGCATGGTAGAAGGGGGGATGCAGGCTTCCCTACCCTGAACACCTGGGTTCTCTGGGCCCGCCAGCTGGGGAGACCGGGATCTCTGTGGTTCTCTGTCCTGGATACCTGGGTTCTCTCCTGTTCGGGGGGTCTCATCCACCCCAGGTTGCCCCCAGATGGTTAGGTTCTCTGGGCCCACCAGCCCAATAGAGGAGGGTCTCTGGGCTTCGCCACCCTGGACACCTGGGTTTTCTAGCCCCACCAGCCTGGTAGAGGGGGGTCTCCGGGTCTCTGTGCCCCAGACGCTTGGGACCTCTGGTCCTCCCAACCTGGCAGAGCAGGGGATCTGGGGTTCTCCGTCCTGGACGCCTGGATTCTCCGCTGTTAGGGGGGTCTCATCCACCTCAGGTTGTCCCCGGATGCCTGGGGTCTCTGGCTCCACCAGTCCCATCTGGGGGTATCTTTGGGTCTCTCCGCCCCGGATGCCTGGGTTCTTTGGGGCGGGTCCTGCCAGCTGGCTGGAGCGGGGCCCCCTGGCCTTTCCTCTGGCCCGGACGCCTGGGTTCTCAGTCTCTCTCGGCACCGGCATTGCCTTTGCAGCTGCTCCCAGACGCCTGGATCCTTTCCGTCTCCGTGCCGGCACCACCCGCAGGAAGCGTCGCTGCCCGGCCCGGCCCCTTTAAGAAGGAGGGAGGCGGGGCTGGCCCCCACCCTGCCCATGGAGCTAGACCCCTCCCCCATGGGAGGGGGTATTTCCCCAGACGCCTGGGTTCCCTGTCTGTGACCGCCCCCGCAACACGGACACCTGGGTTCCCGCCCCCTCCTGGGAGGGTGCTGGGGTGTCCCGGACTCCTGGCTCCCGTGTGCTACGTGCCCGTGGGTGCCCGGGCGGGTCCGCGTGTGTCAGCGTGTGTCAGTCGGAGAACCGGGCAGAGGACCCAGGCT